AATTCAGTTAAACAAAATAGCCCAAACACACACTGAAAATGGCATTATTCCATCCCATAGAAAAATAAATAAAAATTGTATTCAGGTTCACCTTTGAATTATATGTACTATAGAATAAATGGCTGAATTTGTACTTCATGGTAAAATCATGGCTTAATTCCCGTTTGTTTTTTTCTAGATGGTCACATCATGTCATTATCAAAGTCTATGGATTTAGGGCTTAGGGCTTAATGTACATCCAAACAGGTACTAAATTGTTTGCTCCCCCCCCCGTTTTCCACAATATAAGACATTCCCTGATAATAAGCCCAATCAGGCTTTTGAGTGTATGGCAATAAGGCCAAGTGCTTATTTCAGGGTTCCAAAAAATATAAGACGGGTCTTATTTTTGGGGAAACACGGTACTATTCTGACATTTATATTACAGTAATATGTTGCATTGACTTACCTAGAAAGCATTTCATGACCATTCCAATGAATTAACTGTATATTACTGACCAATAAATGATCCTTCTTTTATACTGAGTTAGGGGACTAACTAAACAGAATAAAAGCTGAACAGAATTTTTTATTTTCTCCATCCCATCTATTTATCTGTCCTTTGGAAACTGATTATTATCAATGCATTCAGGCATTCTATCAATAAACAAAAGTATTCAGAATTCTTGGGTGTGATATGAATGCAAAGATTTTAATCAGAAGCCCAAGAATCCAATAAAGAATTCTAAAGTGGAATACTTAACAGAACTGGGAAGTGGGGAAGGGACACATACACAATGATTAGTAAATTGAATGTAACTCCATGGAATTTGGAAATGGATTAGCAAGGAGTTGGAAGAGGTTAAAAGAAACAAAGAGAGGCAGAGGCAAATAATGCATAATATTCTTTTCCAGGTATGAAGATGCATTACAAAATGTCTTGACAAAGGCAAATACCCACATACTTTTCACATGGTAAAAAACTGGAGCAGAGGACAGAATCATTAAACTACATATTGTATAACCTGGATGACTGCTAAGTAAGATGGTTACTATTTTAATCTTAAAATAAACATTTATAAACAATCATTCAATCATTCAAAATTCCAGAGCTAAAATTAGTGAAGCTATATTAGTTTCATACTTTTATAAAAAGGATTGGGGACTGAGGAAACTGTTAAGCACGCAACCAGCTGGGTGACTTTGGGTGGGTGGGTCTCTCTTTCTCTCCCACCCCCCACTCTCGACTTGAAGGCATCAAGAAGGAAAACACCCATTTTACTAATCTAAAATAAAAAGTAGCAAATATTTGCCCTGTGGCTGAAAAACCTACTTTCATTCAAATCAGCTTTTTGGTAGTGGGGTGAGGCTTGTACAATGATTATAAAGTATAGAATTTTTAGCTTTTCAATTATGTTTCAAGGTCACATCCAAGTAGTAACTGTGCTTCCTAGTTTTCCCTCTACATAGTCAATAAAATGTTATTGTGACTATTTAAATTGTTTTTATGTATCCATAAAATACATAATATTTTAATTTACATGGAGTACACATAGTACATCCTTGTAAATTTTCAGTGATAACTGAAATAATATTCAGTAATATTTGACTTTTTAATGTTATCCAGCTATCCCAGAGTCATGAGAATTACCTGTATATCCAACACATCTGGAAGATAGTAAGTTGGGAAACACTATCCTAACTTCAAAATCTATCACAAATCTATCTGTACCAAGCTCTAAATATACAAAAGCATTAAAATGATTTTATTATTATGTGGTTCAAACCTTCAAAATTCACATACATAGATTAGCTGGATACCCGTGCTTCACTATGAAACTATGTGATGGGGTTTGATAAATTGACATTTAGAGTTTGAAAATTAATGACTAGTTACAATCAGCTTTTCCTCTCCCATTCTCTCCCTCAGGCTAGCCCCACAGAAGCTTCTCCTCTCCCTCAGGCTTGCCCCACAGAAGCCTCTCCTGTCCCCTCCCCTTCTCTCCCTCAGGCCAGGCCCCATAGATCCTCTCCTCTCCACCTCTCTCCCTCAGGCTGGTTCCTCAGAAGCCTCTCTTATCCTACCCACTTCTTTCCCTCAGGCTGGCCCCATAGATCCTCTCCTCTCCCCTTCTCTCCCTCAGCCTTGCCCCACAGAAACGTCTCCTATGCAATCCCATTTTCTCCAGTTATTTTCAAGTTGGGAGGGGGAGTAGAACATCTAACTAATTAGCATCAGAGCATGTTATAATATAGGAAATACTAATGCTCTAATGGTCATTTCGAAAAATCCTTTCTTAGTGAATATGTGTGTGTGTGTGTGTGTGTGTGTGTGTGTGTGTGTGTGTATATAAATATATATATATATTTGTCTATGTAAGTTTTCACGGGTATATATGTGTGTACAGTTAATATTTCAGGTTTCTTCCTGTGTAATTGTGAACATATCCCTAAAAGGGTAGAAGCAACGTTTCGACAGAATCTCATCTGCCATCATCAGGCTTATGTGAGGTGTCTTTTGCAGTAATAATATATAATATTATTTGAACCACATTAGAAATATGTTTCTAATGGCTTAGATGTTAATACAATGCCAGAGAGATGGCTTATTATACTTATAGCAGAATAAGTAAGGAATAAATTCTACCATCTCAGAGATCTCAGCTCTCTGCTACCCAAAGATCCGCTACTCACTTTGAAAACAAAATACAGTCACGGAAATCAAGCCTTTTTTTCATCACCTCTCTCAATAACTTTACAGAGAGAATGAATGGGAAGAATGAAACATCAAGGGATAAAAAACTGCATATATTTATTTCTTCTGGGTTCTTTAGAAAAAAAAACATACTGTACTTAAATCCAGTTATCAAACTGTTATCATAAAGAGCAAAGGCTATAGAAAATTGTAACAAGATCAAAAGGCCAGAGTGTTACTGATGAACACTGAGGACTTATTTGTTATTCCAACATCCTGTGCAACTTAAAAATTTGAGAATTTGATCTAGACTTCAGCCTGAAACGATATAGTCATTAGTGATTTTATTGAATTTATTACCGTTGTAGATTTGATTATGCATCAATAAATTGTTCTGTTTTGCTTATAGGTTTTTTAAAATCTAACTGGAGCTAGCTCAGAAATTTTGGGAGCACAATGAAAAAGGAAGTATGCACTGTAAATGAAAACAATACGCTCCACATATGAAAAGGACATTAGTATGGGAAAGTATAAGCAAAGTGTTCAAAAAGAAGACAAATATTCTACAATCAGTGACTTTATATATAATTCTGTTTGCTGTTTTGGTTACCTTGTCTCAAACTGGAGATCTGAAAAGGAAAAAGTGAACATCAGGAAAAAAAACCTAGTGACCTCTGCACATTCAACTTAAGTTCCAATGAAAACACATAGAAGATTCAATGTGTTGATTTGGAAATCAAAGAATGTTCAACAAAACTGTAAATTATGAAGTATGCAAACATGAATATTTTTTCCTGTCCTTATATCTAATAGAGCATCATAACATAAAGTCAACAGTATTTACTTCTAATATAGTACTGTAATTTAAAATCTGATCCACCAGATATGCAGAATATAACAGGATTCTGGAATGTAGTTTAGAGTGAATTATGCCTTCTTCTCAATATGAAGACACTTTTCTTGTAAATTATTTATAAAACAGATAGGGTTATAACACTCTCCCCAATATATTTGACAATTTATGTGTCCAATTTGATGTGTAAACTTAGGATACTTGTCTTAACTCAGATATCTTAAGAGGAAATGTGATCTTTAATAAATTGATCATGATGCAAGTATATATTCATTGCCACAGAGCATAACATTAACCTGTATGAATTATCCAAAAGCTCAGGGGTTGCCACAAAGAAGAGGGAGTCAAGCACCTGAGGACAGGACAAGAAGCAATGGATGGAAACTAATCAAGGAGAGAAACAACATAGGAGAAATTTCTTGACAGAACAGTTGATCAGTGGAAAAACGTGCCTCCATAAGTTGTGAATCCTCCAACACTGGAGGTTTTTAAGAAGATATTGGACAAACATTTGCCTGAAATGGTACAGGTATAGGGTTTCCTGCCTGGACTAGAACACTTCCAAAGTCCCTCCCAACTCTGCTGCATGAACTTAGCAGAACAATCCATTGGCCCATTAACTCAGTACAGTATTGAGTGAATATTGAGTATATAAGAGTTTTCTGGCAATTCTGGTAGATGCCTTGTCATTGTAGGGGCTTCCCATATTCAGGAAATACTAGGACAAAATTTGCTTTATTCAGTATGTCAAATCCCGAGTACTACTTACTCCTCTCTGCTGGCTGTTGCATAGCCTGACCCCAGCATTATATCAGACCTCGCATATATTTATTTATATAGAGCCTTATTAGCACTCCCACGCAAACACGAGTAACTGCAACTTTCCTTGAGTCACAGCCAACTAGGTGCAAGGGGGATTGCTTCTAGGAGTATCTTTTGTGCTGAAATGCCACTCCTTTGATCCTCCAGGCCGTGCAGGACAGCGAAATTCCCAAATCAAAACGGGAGGGAGAAAATAAACCGGAACTCCCGATTCCCAAAGTCGGCAGGTAAAGGCCGAAAACAAACCGGGGATCGCCTTCCTGGAAAGCGAGCGCCGTTAAGATTTGTTTCCAAGTAAAGGCGCACGGGATGAAGTGCACCCCTCTCCAAGAAAGCCTATAGACGTGCCCAGCGGTCACCAACGCTTAAATTTGAAGGAGATAGGCAGAAAAATCAGAATATTGGATTTTTTTAATTTTTTTTTTAAAAAACCCAAAACTTGGGGACAGGTTGCCGGTGCGCTAGCATTTTGCTGCGGACGCTGCGCTATTTCTGGGTCGGATGCTTTCTCTGCCGCCACGGGAGAAACCCGAGAATGGCGGGGAGAAAAGCGGGGGCGTGGGGCTTCCTGGCGAAGGAGCCAGTGGAAAAACAAGAGGGGGCCGAGGCGGAGCATTTAGGGAGAGGGGGGGGTGACTCTCTCGCCGCCGAGGCTGGGCCTGGAAGCCGCCCGCCCGCCAGCCCCGCTGCTTCCCCTCCTCCTCCGGGTTCGGGGGGTCCCCGGGCTCAGCCCCCGAACGCCCCTCTCTTCCGTTCGCCATGTCATTTCCTGTGCTAATAAGATGGTGGTCACGGCCGGGAGGGAGGGAGCCGCCGCAGCTGCAGCCTCCTCCTCTGCCACCGCGCCCGGCCCGGCCCCGGGACCCGTCCTCGCCTGGGACTAACGAGCCAGGCTGGACTGGCCGGGCCGGCGCCGCAGGAGGAGGAGGAGGAGGCAGAAGAAGACGGGGGTGGCAGAGCGGGTGGCCGCCAGAAGAGCTGAGCTGCCCCCGGACGACGAGCCAGGGCCCCGCAGTGCCGAGGTGAGTCAGCCCTTCGGTAGCCAAGGTGGCGACGAAAATGGCTGCGGAGAGCAGGCGGGGCGGTGGGGGGGGAGGCAGCTGGGCGAGCGCTGGCTCGGGGTCTGGGGGCAGCTGCGGGCGGGAGGCCGTTGCTACGGTAGAGGGGCTTGCTCTGCAGTCCTCGCCCAGCAGCGGCGGCGGAGGGCGCGGCCAGGCAGGTAAGTAGCCGCCTCGATTTTTCCCTCTTCCCCTTCTGGGACGAGCGCTGAGCTCTGCGCAGCCCGGCCCCTTCCTCCCCTCCTGCCTCTGCTGCCACCGTCTCCTCTGCTCCTCTCCTGCCTTGCCTCTCCACTCCCGCCCCTCTCCCTGTTACACTACGTCCGGTGAGTGACGCGGACGCGCTCCAATGGGCGGCCGAGGAAGCCAGAGAACGCTCCCAGAGGGAACGTGTGGGCGGGGTCCCCAAAGCAACTGGGTGACTTTGGAAGCGCCGCGGGAGGAGGGAGGAGGGAGGAGGAGGTGGTGTCCGAAGTCGAGGGCGGGGCTTCTTTTTGCTCTACTTCCCCAGGAGCGATGTCCCGCTCAAGAGAAAGTGAAGTTGGCTGCTGCGTCAACTGATTTTACCAACTCCGTGCAAAAAGTGGGTTTTGGATTCCGTGCAAAAAGGGTCAAGGGCTGTGCAAGTGGTCAATCCTATAGGCCGTTCGCTAGGCGATGAGGCAGAGGTGGTTTGGGCTAAAAGATAACGATTGGCCCGAGCAGAAATCTCTGCTACCGTTCAGGAATGTATAGTCCAGGAGACGGGCAAATGCCGTGTTGGCCAATTGCAGGAAAATAAAGCTGGCAGTGTCAGAAATACCTTGCATCGTTCAGGTCACTACGGCGTAGACCTGGAGAAAAGGGGAGTGATGACAAAACGATCGAACTCACAAAAATGACTGGAAGAGAGAAACGATACCATACGCAGGAAAAAAAAAAACCCCGATAATTTGTGTCTTGGTTTAGTTTGAGGAGAGAGTGATTGTACAAAACTGTCCATTATGTAGAAACGTATGTTCTTCACTCAACTAAAGGGGTCATCCAGAGAAGTTAAATGGTCGAAAAGTAATACCTGATGAAAGCAGAAGGGCTTGTTAAACTTTGTCGTTTAGATACAGCGAGAACTACAAACTTAAATGAGTTTTAAAAAGGAGAAGTCACGGTAGATAAAGCTATTATTTTTTCCTTGTTATGGTGGCTTAATTTCTAACATAACAGGTAGCATGCCTTTTAAGACCACCCCCCCCAAATCTGAACTAGAGGGTGATAATATCTCCTTTTTTTTGCTTGCAAGAAATCATTTTGGGAATGACTATTGACCAGATTGATCTCTTATCTGATCAAGTGTGGATCTGTTTTTGTTATTCTTTATTGCTGTCTTTTTAAAAGCCAACCAGCCATCCTATTGCCTGAACGTTATAATTATTGAGCTCCTTATTAGTAAATAGTTATTTTACTAATGTTATTTAGATGTTCCATTCATTATAAATGCAAGCTTGAAGAAGGCTGATGCTCCTACAGTACTTGCATCTTTATTTCAGGGCTTCAGTCTTTCAGTCTTGTATATTGCATGTTATGAATTGTGTATAAAACAAATAAAATGAAGTATGAGTAGCATATTAGCTATAAGCCGTATTAAGATCAAGTCTGCATAGCCTTGAAATAAAGGCAGATAGTTTCTCATCACGAAGAGCCATCCTATATAGGCACAGAGATGCTGTCTTGCAGTTTCAGTAATTGCATTATTGAGAGCAAGGATAGTTTTCCCCTGATTTTTTTTCTTTGTTAAAATATTCCCTCCTATTGCAATCAGTGAGAGGAAATTTCACTACCAGCATGAAGTTAACATAGTTGCTCTTGTCTCCAGAACATTAAATTTTGGAATTTACTATCGATGGGAACATTTTGAAGCATTTCAAGCTAGTGGAATTAGGTGTTAGCAGTACATTTAAAAGTCTTTAAGCTATCTTTTAAATGTATATTTTAAGTTGCCTACGGTAAAAAAAAGTGAAATCTGATTAATGTATCCAAAACTTCATAAATCACTATTAAGAAAGGTGCTTTATCAAATGGTAACTGGATTTTGTTTTTCCTTGAAGATGTTTCGCTTCTCATCCAAGAAGCTTCAGTTCCTCCTCAGAACTGAAGAAAATTCTTGGATGAGAAGCGAAACATCCAGTTGCCTTTTGAAAAAGCACTTTTGGGTCAGCCATGACCTAAATGACTGAGAATCTCCATAGACATTGAACCACTATTGCCTTATTTCTATAGTTAGCCATTAAGGGAAGAGTCATGCCTAGATTCTGCAACTCCTATAATTTTATGAATTCAGGAAAATGAAGGTTAACATATCTAGAGATTCCCAGATAGAAAAAAGCCATGTACTGAATGAATTTATTATTCCATAAGCCCCACTGCGTTCTATGTCTCCTAAATGCTGTTGAGTACATAATGCTTATTTCACAACAATTTAGATCAGGGAGGTCCTCTAAAAATAGCATTTTTATTACATTAAGGTGGCTTTTCAAAGGTTAGGATTTTTTTTTTTTTTTAAATTGATTTATATGCTGCCCTTCTCTGGAGACTCTGGGCGGCTTACAATGCGTTAAGCAATAGCCTTCATACTTTTGTATATTTATACAAAGTCAGCTTATTGCCCCCACTATCTGGGTCCTCATTTTACCTACCTTAGAAAGGATGGAAAGCTGAGTCAACCTTGAGCCTGGAGAGATTTGAATTTACAGTAATTGCAGACAGCTTGATGTTAATAACAGTGCTTTAGTCTGCTGCACCACCAGGCTCTTGACATATTTCTAGAATATGTAATTGAAAGACACTTCCTATGGTACGTGCATTGTTGTATGTATCTCTATAAAACTAACTTTTCTCTCCAATCTGAATATTTTTTCTTCTCCCGTACCTTTCGATACCATATTTCTGTATGCCTAAGTAAGCAAGCCTTACTTAGGCTCTACATTTCTCTTTCAGAATGTTTAAGATACATCCTGGAATTCAGATGACAAGCTGCTAGTTCTAATATGAAATATTTGAATATCTTGGAATATTCAGGTGATCTTAGTAAATGTAACTAAATGTAAAATTGAGACTGCCTCTCAAAATTGTCAGAGTTTTCAGATTAGGGATTTATTAAAGACAGTTACACCAGTTGTATTTTGTTTAGTCTTTCTGTTCCTTGAATACTTGATCATGGGGCATTAGCAAGGGCAGGACAGTGTGGTTTAAAAGAATGGTAAACTTCTTTGGTATATGGCCTTTTGCAACCTGGATATCTCCAGCTGTATTGGACTTCATTTTCCATATTTCATAAAATGATACTTCAGGTTGTAATTGGAGACAATAACTGTTCATACAACCCTCATAACTTGTTAGTGAGTTAACTCACTTTTTAATTTGCACAACTGAAGGACAACTTTCACAAGATTATAGGCCAAACAAAGAATAACCGTAGTCAGTGTTGAGATTACTTCACTGACTGGTAATGTGTGCTAAATGAATGTATACAGCTAGAGAGCATCAGGTTGGGACAGACTAGCATAAAATGATGTGAAATAGGCTTAATGCAGCATTTTGGATTCAGAGGCAAAACAGTGTTTTGGAATGCATGGACTATTCCCTTCACTGCAGCTCCTTAAAGCAGCACAATCCTAGAAGAAGATGCATTTTAGATTTAAGACATTATTGCATAATGCACTACTAGCAGGCACTATTTTAATATTGATAAGAAAAAATAAAATTGTTCATTGTGTTTTTGCTTTTGTTTTCCAATATAGTGAAAAATATAGTCATTTTTCTGTTATTAGAAGTAGTTAGAATTCCAAAACTAATTTGAAATCACATTTTCTATTCTATTCCCCCAGACCTTATCGGTGACATCTTTAATATATAAAGACATTTTAAAGCTTTTGCGGAAGATTATACAGACTGCATAATCTGTCGTTCATAAGAGCTGTCCTTGCAATGCTTAAGTAATTTTCAAATTGTAATTGTTGTGTCAATAAAACACAGTTCTTTAATTTTAACTAATCTTGATATTTTGATATTACAGATTCCTACATAAGGCTTGATGCAGTCCTTGACACAGAAAGGACTCCATACCTCTCTTGTATAAAAATATGTGGCAAAATTTGCTGAAGTAAAAACTAGAGAAGGCTCTTAATAGTTCTTCGAAAGAATGTTTAAGAGTCCCCAAAGTGGTCCACACAGTAAGAATTTTGAAGGGAGGGATGCAGCACTTCTTTGTGTAGAAGTGGCAGGACTGGAAATTCCCAGCAATCTTAACAGACACTCTCTTCTAATTCCATGGACTGTAAATACAAATGGGAAGTAGAATGTTTCCAAAGCAACTGGCAAGAGTAATGGGGAATTTGAATCCTTGTCTTTCTTCTTACATTATTCCAGGCTCAGTTTAACCACGATTAACACTAAAAAAGTATACCTACAAGTGGCTGTTTTGCTAATGTTCTCTGTGATATGATGAAGCTTCTATAAATATGATCACAAAACATGAGAAAGGATCTTGGCACTCTACATAGTGCTTATTTGCAGTCAACATTGCTTTTTATCCCTGCTATGCTCTGGGCTACCAATCGTTTGCATACCATAGGAGATAGTATCAGTCACCATCTCCATGGAAATGTAATCCAAGTATTGGATACTATCTTCACTAGATAAATTACAGCATACCTTATGATACACTGATTTTTTTTCCTTTAAAGAGTATGCAGAGTGCTGGGCATTTGCCCACAAGATATTTACACTACGATATTATTATTATTATTATTATTATTATTATTATTATTATTATTGATAGGAAACTTAAAAAAATTAAAAATAAATGTGCATGCATACTCTCTACTAAAAATTATAGCAAGGTAGGAAAATTTACTTTAAAGTTTTGCAACAAGTAAAAATAATGAAGATATGGCCAAAATCAATGCAATATTTTAATAGTCTTTTTATCC